GTGGAGGGTCAGGAACAAAGGTCTCCTTGAAGCAGGGGTGGGGCTGTCATGTCTTTTTAGCCGAGTGCTAGGCCCATTGCACAACACTGTCACATGGGCCTCACTGTCACTGCCACAGTCTGTTCTGTCACTTCCCTGACTGAGCTGGGCTGAGCCGCCTCTCCCTCTCCCTCTGTCTGCTGCCTCCCCTCTGTGTGAGATGCCACTCCTCCCAACACTATCCTCTCCTCCCATCACCCTCCGCTGCCTGGCCTCAGGGCCAGGGCCTCCCTGGGCTCAGCTGGGCAAACCTGCCGCTGCCCTACCACCTGGCAGCCCCTTTGTTGGGTCCCAGAGCGGACTGGTTTTCTCAGTGAAAACAGAAACAAAGCAGGTCTGACAAGGATGCTGCTGGGATTGCGGGTACAACTGAGATGTGTCTGCTCCCTGGTTCAAGGACCATGGCAAAAAGTCACCCCCACACACTCACACTTCAACTTTACCAGTGAGAAGCCACGTGGACTTAGTGTGGTCACTCACCTCCCCTGAGGTTCAGTTTCCTAAAGAGAATTGCTTCTGCTTTCCTTTCAGCAAAGCTGGTTGTGTTGGCCCTGGAATCTGGCTTGATGCCAACAGTGAGGCTGCATTTGGCAGAATCTGCTTTGTCCTTGTTTGGACCCTCAGAAGCGGGCTCCGTCCGAAGCTGCCAGCCTCTCGGACCTCAGAGGAGGCAGAGTAGCTAGAGGAGTCCCCCAACCCCTAGGGGAGTGATCTAGCTCTAGGCTAATCTAAATGTTTGAGGGATCTAATGGCACCAGACCTAGGAAACTCCCTTGGTCCCAAGCATGCTCTTCTCCATGTGTGTGCTGCACCAAACCCAACCGAAGGCCCGTTCTGTTGCCTCCTTGATGGTTCTGTCTTCCCAGAATGTGCTGCACATCTGCACCCAGCCCACCTCTCAGGCTGTGATTTGCCTCCATCTGCCTCCACTCCACTCCCATCAGAGTCCCCAAACCATGTATAGGGCCTGCCTTGGCTCCATATCTCTGACGGGTCAAATCTCAGGCCACCCGAGGCCTCCCACCCTGCCACCCAGCTCTGCTCCTCCACAGACTGCTGTCCTTCCTCTCCATTCTACAAACTGACAAGCTCTTAACCTTGTCTAGCAGGCTTCTTGGAGAGCAGACTCCATGGGGACCAGATGTTCAGGGGTAAAAACCAGACACAGAAGAGGGGACCTCTCCAGACTCTCTCCTCTAGCTGCTGTGATGCAGCCCCTCTGGGGCCCTTGATGCTCAGTACTGTGCACTGGGCCTCCTGAGAAGATAGGACATACCTGTGGAATCTTCTAGAATCTAGGCTATTTGTTGAGAGGTGGAAGTGAACTTGAAAGGAGGGGCTATTCTGCTCGTAGACACTAAGTTTGAATGAGGCAGCTCCATTCACAGCCCTGTGGCCACTGATCCAGGCCCAGATAGGTCAAGGTCTGAGGTCAAGGCTCTGTCCAACTCCCAGCCTTAAAGGCAAGTACCCTGAGTGTGTCAACCTCCCTCCCCCATCTCTCACGTCACCCTCTCCTGTGTCCCACGTCACACCTGGAACTGCTTCTACCTCTGGGCTGTCCCCTTTTGTTCCTGAAGAGGCAGTCTGAGGTTGTTCCTGCCCCAGCCCCATCCTCCTTCTTGCCCTAGGCTCAGCCCAAGGACATCTCCCAAGGGCATCAGCTCCAGCTGGAGCCTGCCAGCCCTGCCTGTCCACTGAGCACAGTTCTACAGAACTTGGACAGCTCTGGGATTGGCCACACATGGAAGGCCTTGGGCATCATGCCCTGAACCACTTGGGACTCCTGTGATGGACAGGGCTACTGGGTGCGACCTCCAAGGCAGCGAAAGCAGAATTCTTCACCCTTCTCTGTCCCCTCACACTCCCTCCCCCTGTCTCTATCTCTGGCTCATGGATAAGAGGTGAGCTGATAGTTATTATAACACTGATAATGCTGATAATAGAAAATATTTTTGATACCTTTAGCATGCCAGTCTCCGTGCTAGGCACTAAGGGAACATAAATAAATAAGACTGACATAGCCTCTGTCCTTGTGGGTGCCTCAACCTCCGTCCTCGGCAGACAAAGGCCTCACATAGGGAAAACACTAAGTACATATTTGTTAAATAAATGAAGAATGCATGAAATGAGCAGTCCAGCTACACCCAATGGCACAGAGGCCCGGAGGAGTGTGCAGTGAACACATAATGTCCACTAGGGCAGAGGTGGCACATGACCTGGTCACACTCCCCTGACCCACCTTGGAGAGGGTTTCCAGGCCTAGTTGCTGCTCCATGGCTTGGTGCTTCAGCACAATAGGGAAATAGCAACACAGCAATCCTGCAGGATCCTGCAAGACAAGTCCATAAGAGGGGAAAGAGAATTCTGAGAGCTTCCTGGAGGAAGAACTGGGGAGGACCTGGAGAAGAAACAGGACTTGAAGTTTATGTGACCTGCAGTCCAAAGACCAAGGTGTGTGTACTAGTGTGGCCCACAGTGTGGTCCATGCACAAAGAAAGACTGTCCTCAGTCTGCTGTGAGAGTCTGGTCCAGGCCTCTGCCCTGTGGGAGAGTACAGGCAAGAGTGAGCCTCTGATGTTTTCTCCAAGCCAAAATGTCATCAGGGTCCACAGTAAGAAATATTGGGATGGACCCTGGACAGTCCACATTCTCACTAGCTGACCCAGATGCTTCTGGATGGAGGTGACATGTTTCCTTCCAGACAAAGGTAAACAGGAAGGCAATGAGGGGCTTTTAGGATGGGATGAGGATTTTGGCAGTCCCTGAGGTATTAGTTGGGAGGAGAAAATGTTATCTGAGGACATGTGTCAGGAAGCCTTTGTGAAATGTCCTGGTCCCACAGTCTCTTGAAGATCGTTCCTCTCCAGTAAATCTCCGCCCCATTCACATCCACTTTGACTCTAGCCACATCTAACCTAACCATACTGTGCACCTAACCCTAGAGACACCCTATGACAAGTGATAGCTGCCCTTACCCCATTCAGTCGAGTCCAAAGTCCCGGGAGTTTCTGACTAAATAAATCTTCTGCTGGTCTTTACACCTCTGCTCACATGGGATCTTGTTGTTGTGTGCCATCTAGTTGGAACAGACTCATAGCTGACCCTCCAGCAGGTTTTCAGAGGCAGTTAATCACACAGGAGGAGACTGCCCATCTTTCTCCTAAGGAGCTGGTGGATTTGAACTCCATGACTTTGTGATTGTGGCACAGCTTCTTATCACTAGGCCACCAGAGATCCCTAAAATGGGACCTAAATCTATTTAAAACAAAACCATACAAAACCCATGACTGTTGGGTCAGTTCCAGCTGATGAAGATCCAAGGTTGCCAAGGCTGCCAATCGTAAGGAGAGAAGACCGCCTCACCTTTCTCTAGTTGAGTGGCTGATGGGTTCACACTGCTGACCTTTGTGTTAGCAGTTTAACACTTAACCTACCTCTCAAATAATACTGAGAGCCCTGCGGCCCATGCTCTGTAGACTTGGACCCATACTCTATCCCCATACACACTACTATCACACACTAATCAGTCATGTTATTGTCTCTTAGCGGAACCCCTTCTCCCAGAAAGACACCTATATTACTCATGAAGGGCTTCTCGATACCAGCCCCACTGCCCTGGAGTTTTAGCCTTCAATTGACCCTCCCCCTTGGGAGACCTTGTGGGCCTATCTCTACTATAGCCTGTAGCCAAGGCTCTTACCAGAGCTTATTCAATGAGGTACACAGAGTTGTCAAGAATGTTGACTTAAAGTGAATTGAATTTAAAAAAAAAAAAAAAGAATATTGACTTAATCTGTGGCCTACTCAGGATCTGGAGAAGCAAACAATATCACTCTCATGTGGCCACTTGAGAGATGATCAGAAGAATCCGAGGGTGGTAGGGGCCCTAGCCAATGATGGCATGTGTCCGGGATGTTTAAGGACCTCCCTGGAGGACAGTCGTTGAAAGAGGAGAGAAAAGGGTGCCATGTGTGCTTCCCTCCCCTCCCCTGTGCCACAACCACTACCGCAGCCACCGTCTCAGATGACGGCATCTGCGGTGGAGTCAGAACTGACTTAGAGCTGACCATCCAGCAGTTTTTCCCAAGGCTGCAAATCGCATGGGCGGAGAGTGCCCACAGCCCTCTCACAAGAACCACTGGTGGTGATTCGAGCTTTGCCACCAAAGCTCCAGCTACCATGGCTATTCCTTTTCCAAGAAGCCCGGGGAAGCAAAGCCTTTTGCAAAGAAGGAAGTGGACAGGCTATGAACTCCTCGCCCTAGAGGAGAGACGGCTTGAGTATCCTGGAAGCTGAGGGCACCTGGAAGGACACAGCACCTTGCTTCAATCTAGTCAGGAGTCACTTTCAACAGATGGCTTTTCTAGCCTCTCCAAAGCAGATCTGATGCCTTTCTATCGCCACCCCTAGACTGGGAGGTGTGTGAGCTGGGTAGAGGAAGCAATGTCTCAGGAGGTGTTTGTGTTGGATTCCGGATCCAGTCCAGTCAGGCCAGGGCTGTGCGAACGGTGCCTGCAGTTCAGAGGGCTCCTCACACCCAGGGGTGGGGCCGCAAGTTTGCCCGCTAGAACTTTCAGGAGGTTTCTAGCAAGGCGGGGACCCATCCCCCATCTCAGCCCCCTTCCCCCCCATCCCTCCCCGCAGAAGCAACTTCAAAGCCTCTGTGCCTGAGCTCCCGCGGGCAGCGGGCTGGGTCTGCGCTCTGAGCGGTCTGCGCTCTGCGCTCGGGTCCGCGGCCTGCAGAGCGCAGCCCCCGGCGGGATCGGGGCCGTCGAGCCGTCCCAGCCTCGGGGTCTCTGGGAACCCAGGAGGGGTGTTGGGCGGCAGATAGAAGGGGCTGAGGGGCGGTCCTCAGAGCCCCCCGGAGTGGGAGTGTCTGGCCGGGCCGCGGGGCCAATCCGGGCGCGCGGGGCGCGGGGGCGGGGACGGAGGCGGGGCGCGGCGTCCAGGCGGCGGCGGCGGCTGCGGTGGCTCCTCAGTGTCCGGCTCGAGCTCCGGCTGCGACTCCCGTCCGCGATGCCCCACTCAGTGACCCTGCGCGGGCCCTCGCCCTGGGGCTTCCGCCTAGTGGGCGGCCGGGACTTCAGCGCGCCTCTCACCATCTCTCGGGTGAGTCCAGCGACTGCGGGGTGGTGGGGAGGTCTCAGGGCTGAAACCTGGTCCTGGCTGGTCCTCTGGGGACCTGGATCCCCGACGTTTCTGAGACCTAAAGGCCGATGGCTAGCAGAAGTGACCCACAGCTGTAGAGGCAGCTTCTAGACAGGCCAATGTCGCCTTTCTGCCTTCCCTCTGGGGCCTGCCCTAATCCACGCGGGATACCCCCCTCAAAAGTTCACCCATCAGCCTCGTTTTGAGGGAGTCACTGTGGGTCAGATATGGATCCACAGACATGGCTTGCAGTCAGGACATATCTACAGAGGCCTAGAAATGCGGCTTCACTGAACGCAGGCTGAGGATTTGTGACAATATAAGTGATAGCCTCCTTCCCCCATCAGGGGTCCCAGTCATCAAGCCAGGTTGCCTCAAGGAGGTCGGGATCTAGAAAGAGAAAGGTCCTCCCACGTTTCCATTCCCCACTCATGGCCTCGCTGAGAAGCCTCAAGGGGAAGTGACCAGGAGGAACTCTGGGCTTCCCGGGGAAGGGAAAACTCGACTGTGAGGTTATGAGGTCTCCTCCCCACGGTACCATACATAAGACGGGGTCAGGATACAGTTCCTAGAGATTCCCAGAGCCATGTCCTGCTAGCAGCTTGGGCAAGAGAAGAGAGAATAGGAGGCACAGCCTGGTTGGAGGGTGGCAGAGTGCTAGTCAAAGGGGGGCAGAGGCACAGACAAGTGGATTCAGATCCTGGGCAAAAGGGTGTCTAGTCTGGAGAGGTGGGATCCTGGCCCAGCTTTGGAGTCCCCTAGTCTGGAGGGGCAGAAGAGGGCATTCAGAGTCATCTCCTGGGTCCCCTAGTATAGAGGACAGAAGAGGGGAAGGCTGAAGCCCTGCCCTTGTTGTCTTTCAGTCTGAGGGGCAGAGGAGAGGACCTACGAGCATCCCTTGCCCTGTACAGGCTGCTCAAGTCCTCGGGGGCCTATGAATCACCTCTCCACCCCACTCTGTCCCATCATCAGAGTCCACAGAGCTGTCTGGGCTTTCAGATATTTCTTGGGACAGGGTGGGTTCCCAGTGGAGCATGGAATCATAGAATCCTGTTTCTGGGGGCCAGGGTGACAGGCAGGCCCAGCTGTCTTGGGAAGCTTCCCATGTCTGCCTTTGACCCAAGGCTGTGAGGTCTCTGGGACCGGGTGAGCAGGCCTTCAGCACCTCCAGGAGCCTTTCATCTCCACTTCTCTGAGGGAGGCATGCTTCGGGTGTGTGCGTGTGCACACCCACGAGTGGCCATGGCTGGCTGGCTGGGTGTGATGCAAGTGTATCTGCCCAACTGTGCTGATGGAGGTGCTGGGTCAGCCCGCTGGGCCAGGCACCCTGGGCGTGAGGCCGCTGACAGGCTTGGTGGCGGCGGCTGACGGCCGCAGGCAGCAGGGAGCGGAGACATCTGTTGCCCACGCGGCCGCCTGCCCGCCGAGAAAAGGCCTCCACACGTCACAGTGGCAGCAGCGGCGGCCTTGTTTGGAGCTGATCATGATGAAGGCCCCTGGCAGGCAGGCCGACTGAGAAAAGTTTTGCCAGGAAGAGCCCCCCTTATCCCCCAAAGTCACGCGGCGGCAGCTCAGGCTGGAGGAGACAGGATGGCTGAGCCTGGGTTTGGGTGGGATCTGAGGAAAGTTACAGGGCTGGGAAGGTACAGGCCATGGCTTGCCCAGCAGGTATCTCAGGAGAGATCTACAGGGACTGCTAGGATGTGGGGATGTCCTTACCAAAGGGACTCGAGACCCATTCCCACCCTTTTTCCAGGGTCTCCCCAACCCAGTACCCAGTAGGGATAGCCACCCAGTGATAGGAAGAAGACTGGTTGCCTTACAGAGCTGGGAGCTCGAAATCTCAGCCCACAAAGCTTCAGAGAGCCTCAAGAGAACAGTCCAGGGTCCTTTACCCATTAACTTACTATAATAATTGTAGGTATTGGACAAGCATCCACTGCGTGCTAGGCCCTACCCCAGTAAGTGTTACTGGTACCAACTCCTCAAGCAACCATTCTCTGGAATGAGCACTGGTGCTTGTTTGACCCCCTGTGAGGACTTTACATATCTTAACTATCTCAGGCAGTCCTCACAATAAACCTTAAAAGTAAGGGTTCCCTATGGTCTCACACTACAGATGGGGACATTCAGGCTCCGAGAGGTATACCTGGGGTGACAACCTGGGCCAGGGATCCAGGCCTGTCTGGAGCTTCTTGTGACTCTGGAGCAACTTACTCTGACTGCTGATCCCAGCCCACCACCGGATGGGGCTGAGCATGCCAGGAGCTGAGAATGCAGGCAACGGGTCTGGCTCATGCCCGAGCTGTCCACCTGACCTCACTGCTTCTGTCTCCCCTCTCTTCTGTCTGTTTATCCTGTACTTGGCAGCCAGAGGAATCTGCTGGAATCCAAGCCTGTCCTGTGACTTCCTTGCTTAGAACCCTCCGTGGTCCCCAAGCATTAACGAGAAGTGCCAGCTTCTCACCTGGGCTTACAGACTGTACAAGGTCTGGCCCTGTCTTTCTTCTGATTTCATCTCTTCCCTTCACTATGCTTCCACACAGGAATAGCCTTCGACTCTCTCTTCCACTGGACCCGTCACGCATGGTGATCTGTCTACCCGGGACACACTTTCCCCTTTCTGCAGTGGTTCAGACTGTGGCTTTAGAATCAGACTTGCATTGACATCCCGGCTGTCACATAGCTATTCTATATCCTTCTGCTCTTCTCTAGACTTTGGTTTCCTCCTCTAGGTAATGGGTTTGCCCTGAGGATTAATGAGACAATGCACGTAAAGGCATCTGGGAGAGTCGCAATTTCCTGGCCTCATGCCTCTTGATCAAAACTGCCCAAGTGGGGCTGGCAGAGTCCCAGCCACCGTGCTTTCGAGAACTTCCTCCACCCACGGGGCCCTGAATGCACCCCTTGTGTTGACTGAGTCATCCTGCAGCTAGCTGTCTTCTGAGGGAAGACTTCTCTCCAGTGTGGGGAACTGAGACAAGGACCCTCCTCCTGAGCTTTTTTTTTTTTGTCTTCTGTAAAATGGGAATGAGACTAGCTCCTCCCTCATCAGTTGGTTGTGAGGTTGCCATGGGCTAATTATGGATAAATTGCTGAGCCCAGGCCCCTGGCACAGAGCAGGTATCCATGAAGGGGAGGGAACCTACAGCAGGCCTTGAGGAGAGGGTGGGTTAGTGCCAAGTGGACACCTCCCCCAGGAAGGCAGGCCTATGCAGGTGCCCAGGCCCTGTGGGGGAGCACCAGTTGGCTGGCTGAGATTGTCACATTCCAGAAGAGGAACATTCTTTGGGGCAGCTTGTTTCAGGTCAGCTTGGGCAGTGCATTCACTAGACCTCCGGCCAAGGAACTGCCACCACCAGGAACCTCAACTTTGTCCACTCACTGCTGGGAGCTAGCTGAGCTGAGCCTGACTTAAGCTTCCAGGAGCTTCCTTCCCTACCAATAGGAGCCAAAGGTAGGCACCCACTGGAGAGGCAGGGTAATGAGGATTCCTGAAATCTGTTATAGGGTCTGTCCTGGGGGCAGGAACAAGATTGAGATGCCCTGTTACCTGACTTCCTCTGGTCTTCCGCTGAGCCTCTCCCTACTCTGGCCATCATTAGGTTACCAGCATTGTAAGAGGCTCCTGAACGCTTGGCTCTTTGGGATCACTGGTTGCACTGGGGTGGCCTATGCAACTGAGAATGCCTGTCTTGCAGTGAATGTGAACAGGTTGGCAGTTAGAGCTCGAGGGTCCTAGACCTGCCTGGGTAGGTGATAAGACATAATAAGCATAAACTGAAAACTAGGGATCAAGCATCAAAGGAAACAGACACCAGCATTGGAGACAGAATCTGCAGAGGTGTGGAGGTGAGAGGACCCCATAGACATTGGCTAGAGTATGAGTACATGGAAGTGAATGTGGAAAGTGGGACAAGAAGTAAGGTCAAATGAGTAAGGAGGCAAGGTCACTAAGAGTTTGACTATCAGATCAAGAGGCTGCTTTACAGTCTGCTTGGATGGACCCTTGTCTGTGCAGGGTATTTGTGACATGTCCATGCTCTATATGTATATGTAAGTCCATATGTCCCTGCTTTTGTGTGTCCCTTGCATGTCCTTGGACACAGATGCAAGAGTGCTATATTACTTGTCCTAGGCTAGAGGAAGCCTTCTTATATCCTCATACCGCACTAGGCCTCTAGGTACTATAATTCAAAGTATTTAGAACAGAGATGTATTCTCCTGGGTATAGCGTTGGGAACTACGTGGAGATCTCACCCAACTTCTTGGCTTATCCTTCAACAGAGCCACATTGAGAGCAAGGCCAATCTGACCAGATTCTGGGATTGGAGAGGCTATGGAGCAGAGCTGTAGCAAGGTGACAGAATCACTATACTCAGCCATCTGGCTTGTCTCCCCACAGGTCCATGCTGGCAGCAAAGCTGCACTGGCTTCCCTGTGCCCTGGAGACCTGATCCAGGCCATCAATGGTGAAAGCACAGAGCTCATGACTCACCTGGAAGCACAGAATCGCATCAAAGGCAGCCACGATCACCTCACACTGTCTGTGAGCCGGTATGCACATGGCAGGCGGGGCTGGGATGATGGGGCATGGCCAGAGAGGTTCAGGTATGATAGCCAGCATCCTCGGTGAATGGGCCACACAGCCTTTCTACTTCAGTTCCGCTCTGCCTCACCCAGCCACCTGCATTCATGGGGCCCTGCCAGAGCTAGAGAGAACTGAAGGGCAGAAGCCACATTTAAGTCAGGTTGGGAGGTATTTTTGGTATGAAGTTGGTATCCCAAATTAGGGCTGAAATTAAGACCCTTTGCAACTTCTAAAGGGTTGATTTCAGGCTCCCCCCTCTGAATAATGAATGGCTGTTTCAGAACCATCACATCAACATAACGAGGTCAGGCCCAATATAGCCCTCACAAGACAGCTGAGGCTCAGAAAAGTTAGAGGGGGCTTAGAGTCATATGTGAGGGGGTAGGGAAGCAAACTTTGACCTCAGGTCTTACTCTCACTTCCTGCACTGGCTGCTGTTCACTCCCATCAGTCCACAGCTGCCTGCCATAGCTGTAACAGTCTAGCTTCTATCCTATTTTAAACTGGACATGAGACATAGTTCCTTCCAGGAACGATGTAATGTTGTGTCTTCTGTAGTGGAGGAGGAGAAGGGGGGTAGAGGAAACCAAGTCCATCTTAGTTTAGAATGAAGGTCTACCCAGGTATTGCTTTGCTTTTCTGAGAACCTGACTCTTTGGTCCGTTCTGGCTGCCCAATGGCCTTCTCATGGCTGAGTTATATATCCCCACTGACGTGCCTGGATCCAGGGGAGACAGGAATCATTACTCAGCTCTGCTGCTTTCACTGTTGACAGGGACTTTCCACGACCCTTTATGGAAATGTGTGGGCAAAGCCTCTAAAAGCCACAGTATTGCTAACCGTTCCTTAGAACTGGAGGCCGGGAGGGGTGATCCATTGGCTCAGAGCCAGTCAACATGAGACGACTTCTGAGGCAGCCTCTTTCTGCTCCTGGCCCATGTATGGACTGGCCTGTGACTCCTCACCATGCCTTTAGGGCTCAGCAGGCCCAGCTGCAAGTCCAAGGCCTTGTATGGTCCAGCTGCCATATGGTGATGAAGACCTGATCTGGGAACTCAGCAGAGCTCACCCTCATTTCAGGCACTGAGGGACTTGAGATTCCGCAAATGAACTCTGTGAGCCGGGCTCCTCTCCCATAAAACGGGTCACCCTCTCCTGGACTGAGGAGCAGGCTGGATGGGGGGAATGTCAGGTCAGCACTGCTTTGCCAGTGAGTAGCCTCTAAAGCTGCTCTGCTTGGCTGGGTTCCTGGGGCCTGACTCACCACCAGCTTTGGCTGTGTGTACAGATGAATAAGGGAAGCCTTGGTGGTCGCAGCGAGGGGGATTCACCGGGAGGCCGAGCCAGGAGGCTGCAGTAGAAGTTCCCAGAGGCAATAATGTGAGGAGAGGCAAGGGGATGGGGGCAGGGTGGAGGCCCCCCTTCCTTCCTTCCTTCCTTCCTTTCCTGGTCATTTGTTCCTAGCTAGGGACTCTAGCCTTAACCTATTCCACTCTGAGCCTTAACCTATTCCACTCTGGGCATTTCAGTCCTAACACACAGCCTGGCTATGGAGCCGGTGAGAGAACATTCTCGGCTCTCTACCTGACATCTATAGGCTGTCCTCCAGCAAGTAGTTTCCTCTCGGGGCCCTTAACTTCCTCAGCCTCGGAATGGAGACACTCTTAGGATCTGGGGATTGAGTGCGATGACACAACAGGTTTGCCCGGTCGGGTTAAAACCCTGACATCATCTTCTAGTCTCCATTTCTACCCCTCACACGTACAGACTCTGGGGAGCCTCTTGGTTTCTCCTGGGTACAAAATTGTGTGTCTTCCCACCAGGGAGGGCTCTGACCCTACCCCAATTCTGCCTGCCATGTCTTGACCTATGTGCTGGGTCCCACCGGTGGTCACTCCAGCGTGGGCTCTAGTGAGCAGGCCGAGGGGAGCTTCTCTCCCCTCCCTCCTAGGCTTCTACCTAGACTGCAATCCTCCCTCCCATCCTGTGTGCTCAGCTCTAACCAAATCCACCACTGTTGATTTGATTCTGACTTGTAGCAATTCTCAGTCAGGTTTCAAAGGCTGTAAATCTTTACAGGAAGAGACAGCTCACCTTTCTTCTAGGATTCTAACCACTGATTAACAGCGCAACATGTAACATACTACACCACCAAGCGTATCTTGTATACAAGATCCCTCACGATCGTCCCCACAAAAGTGATGTGAAGGCCCAGCTTCCTAGTTATATTTGAAACCCCAAACAGGCATCCAAAAAAATGTAATCCAGCCCATACTTCTGGGCATGCGCTCTGGTTCTAGGACCTTCATGACATCAGCTCCACAGAGCCCTCTAGTGAGACCCCTGCTATGTATCCCAGGTGGTCCAGCATGTCTGCATGGCTCCTCTGGTTGATACTTTGTTCAGATCAGAGGGAGCCACCTGCCCTGCCTGAAACAGAGATCTGGTGATGGGGGTGACTCGGCAATAAGGCCCTTCGTTCTCCTCTCATGGCTCTGGGGACTTTGTGCATTCAGACTACCACACTTCAGGCTTGTAATAGTCTTTAAGGCAAAACTTCAGAGAAGTAGAAGATCAAGTAGCAACACACAATGCCCGTGTTTGTCCCAGGTGAGTAGGAGGCATAGAACTGTATGTTAGGGCAGTCCCTTGGGAACTTAACCGAGGGGCCTGGAATTGGAGATTAAAGCAGTGGTATTGCCCTTGATGGCAGAGCCCTGGGGCTAGGGCCCATGGAAGATAAAGAGGTATTTAGGGAATTGAGGAATGGGTGGGGATGAGGGAATGCAGACTTTGGACTACAGGTAGAGATAGATTGTTAAGAACAACAGCTAAGCGAGGCAGAGTTGAGCTGCTGGTGACATGGGGAAGCCTCAGAAGGCACACTGTTCCCCTTTGATCTAGCCATCCTCGCTCCACAGCACCCACCATTGCCAGGAGCGGCCACACTAAGAGCTGGTCCCAGTGGACAGTGCCGGGTCCCTGTAACCTCCTGCCATCCCTTCGTGGGGCTACTGAGTAGCAGGCCTGAACTCCAGGCTCATCGATTCTCGGCTGCGTGCCCCACTTCTAGCAGGTTTACGATGTTTTTCTCCCTCCTGAGTGGTGTTTGCCGTTTGGTTTCTATGGCGAAGCAGGAATTTCCTAATGGCCTGTTTCCCATTTGGGCTGGGCAGACATCGGTGATGACTCTGCCGGCAGCAGCAGGAGGGGAGGCACACCCCTAAGGGCCTCCAGTCCACTGTCCCCCAGAGCTGATGGAGGTCTGGCTTCTAATCCCAGCCACCTTCAGTGGAGGGGAAGAGGCAGATGGGCTCCTCGCTGGCTCTCAGGGTGGGCAAAGTGGGGACGAGTGAGGAGGCTTGGGCCGCCTGGACCACTGACCAGTGTATGAGGCCTTGGCTCGGTGAGCCATTTTCCTGTGGGCCACAGAGGGGAGAGAAGCACGGTGGCGCTGTAGAGCAGCCTCCCAGGAACAAGATCAGAGGACTGAGTGGGGCAGCTGGTAGGAAAGGGAACACACAGCATCGCCCCTAGAGGGTCGCAGGGCCCTGGAAGGTGGCCACCACTGTGGTACAGGGACATCAGCTGTGGCAGTGCCCTCCCCCCTACAAAATAAAACCACCAGCCATTGCCGTGGGTAGTTCTGGTTCCTCACCTTGGAGAGAGCGGACAGATTGACTACTCTAATTTCTGCTACAGGCCCGAGGGTAGGAGCTGGCCCGGTGCCCCTGAGGACAGCAAGGTCCAGGCACACAGGATCCACACCAACACTGAGGCTCAGGTATGTGCAGACCCCACCTGGCCTGGCCTGGCCTGTCTAGAGTGAGCCCAGGGCACAAGGACCCAGTCGACTACACAGGTTCACCTACTCTGGTGTCCTCATGATGCCTCTCAGATGAATTAGCAGAGCTCAGAGAGAAGCTGAAGCAAAAGGCCATTCCCAGGCCCCATCTTTTGCTCTCAAGATGGTAGGCACTTGCTGGGGACTCTGCCAGTATTCCAGGAAGTCCTAGATTTGGGACAAAACCACGGTGGGCAAGGGCTGGATCAGGCCTTCATTTGGTGGTGCTACCCACACAGTTGGGTGTCCAGTGTTGTTAGGCCTGGAGGAAGTCAATAGACCTGGGGAGGATGACAGCAGCCTTGGATTGTGGGACATTTCTCTATCTCATCCTTGCCTTGGACTTGTTCTGGGAATAGCAAACCTTGGGTCACAGCGCTCAACTTAGAGAATAAAGCAGCCCCTTTCCCTATCTCTGGCTATCCTATGTTTGCACCTAGCAATCTTTACTATCTGCCCAGCCACCTCTCCATGTATGGCAGGGTTTCAGCTATTATCCTGTCCTTAGGGGAGCTGCCTGAACTAGGCCACGGGCATGAGAAGGAGCCATGTAGACAAGACTGAGGTACCCAGGACCAGCTCAACATCTCTGTGCCACGGAGGCTGGACAAGTTGGAGACTTGGCTGGCCTGTGACAGAGCCAGAACTGGGTGGCCCTCTTTGTGGGATGATGGCTTCCTTAGACTCTTTGTGTTGACTCTTACACCTTGGGGGAAAGGGACCAAGGCTAGAAAAGGAGACTGCTGAACCAGAAGGCCGTGCCCTGGCCTCATCCTCGCCCACGACCTCAATCCACATCTTAGTGCGACATTTGTCCCCTACCTTGCCTTTGCTGGTAAGGCCTGAAGACCTGATGTTTACCACATGCCAGTCAATTCTGATCTGGCAGGGGAGAGGCACTTAGCTGCTCTGAGATGTAAAAAGCCAAGGGCTGTAGGAAGCCAGAATGAGCACAGGACTTAGCTAAGTATCAGAGAGGGCTTCCAGTTGGAGGACATATCCAAGCCAGTAACTGAAGCCTAGAGTAGAATAAAGCATGCAAAGGAGTGCAGGGCAAAGTGCATTCAGAAGGCATATACAATAGCCCAGAGGTGAGAGTGCACCATAGCTTTCAAGAGCAGAAAAGTCCCAGGAATGAGACCTGTGGCCAGGGGAAACATAGTAGGATGAGGTCACAGAGACTCTGCGGCTCCATCTGGGGTCTCACTTGTTCTTGTAGAGCTCCGTATTGAAGAGAACATCTGTTTCTAAGTAGCTTGCTCTGGTGATACTATGGACTGAAGACTCTCCAGGTGGTGGTGAGGGGCAGCTATTGGCTTAGGCAAATTAGCTGAGCCTGACAGGGCCAAGCCGAAGGGAGAAGTATGAGGGCTCCTAGCTCCCATGGGAGGCCCAGCTTCCCTCTGTCAGCAGTGCCAGGATAGACAGGACAAGGGCCCTGAGCTTTGGAATCTGAAGCTCAGCTCTGCTGAGTCCCCAGGAGAGGCTCAGGATCAGCGGGCTTGGCTGGGCTGGGAACTTGTCCTGCTGCCTCCCTCCCAGATGAGGCTGCCAGTGACTCAGGCTAGAAGGGGAGGGATTTTTCCACAAGGTTCAGGGCAACCCCTCAACTACTGTTCTGCTTTTGTACTGAAAGGTCATGAGCTCCATGGGTGGCGACAGAAACACTTCCATCCAGCCCTTGCAGGGCCCTGTCCTCAGTAACACAGACACAGGCCCCATTGTCCCCACGCTGCTCCCACCCTTGGCCTGCAGGGTGAGGAGGGGGGAATGGGCCCAGCCGGAGACACCATAGGGAGGGTAACATGGTTGGCCCTAAGACCATCCCAGGGTAACCCTGGCACACACTCCAAGTGAGATGGAACAGAGCCAAGTGTAGAATCAGGCTTGGCTTGCCTGTAGGTTCATAGGAGACCCTTCTATCTCGGGCTTCATCTCCCAAGAAGCACTTTGCCTAGCCCAGAGTGGAGAAGGGTAGTAATGAGGGAAGGTTTCCTGAAAAGGGAGGCATTTAAGCTGGGAACCAGTGATGCATAGAAGCCAGCCACTAAGCAGGCAGACCCTTGTGCCCTGGCTTCCGGTCTCTGGACCAGCAGAGAGCTGGAGTTTGGCTTCTGGAAGATGCCACTTGTTCATCTAGACCCAGCCTCCAACAATGTTAATTGTCCCAGATTGCTGACAGGAGTCACATGGGGGCTGATGAGCAGGCAGTTAGTTACTGCCATTCTGCTGACAAACCCACCAAGCTTTCAACAATCGAATCAGCAACAGGGCTGGCACTCCCAGAGAAGGAGCGCATGGTACCAGGTGCTTAGCCACTGAGGGGGAAAATCCAAGGATAGGGGTCAGACCTCGCCGGGACAGCCATTCACACAACAGGCATTTGCTGTCTCAGGCACTGTGCTAAGTGCTCTCATCCCCACAAGAATTTGTGGTACAGAAAACATCACGTTCTTCACATCACAGATGAAACCAAGGCTCAAAGAGATAAAGCGAACTGCCCCATCAGTGCATAAAAGAACCGGAACTCAAACTAAAGCCAGATCTGAAAAGGCCACACTGCCTGGGTGGCCTTGGGAGGGGCAGTGGCTCCAGTGACCTCCAGTAGACTCCCACACCTTGGTAGGAATGAGATGGGGGAGAGTTCCTTCCTCCTGGTTCTTCCAACTCCCCTTCTCCACGAGAGCCGCCTCCACTCAGGGTTCAGCCCCACCCCCACCAACCACAGACCATCTGGTCTCCATTAGAAGCCAGCCTGGCCAGCCCTGCCCGCCTGGAGCCCAGACACACGTGTGAGAGCGCTCAGGTTTCTCAGGGGCTTTTGTCGGTCCTGGTGGGGGCAGGAGGAGGGGGTCTTCCCGCTGCTGCTACTTCTGCTTCTGCGTTGATGAGGCCCCCCAAGAAGAGAGCCTCCTCTTTGTCTGTTGGGGCAAAAGAAACAGGGAGTCACCTCCATCCGGCTGCTGACCCACGTACTCCCAAGCTCCTGCCCAGCTCAGAGACTGCAATAAAAGCAAAGGACAGTCAAGGCAGAGCCCTCCAGGCCTGACTGCTACTGTGCTGGAGGCTGCCTGAGTCCAAGCCTAGTTGTTTCCACCTGGGGGGGGGGGGGTCTCCTCCACACCTAGTCTCCCCGCCCACACTGCAGAGCAGAGGGAAGATTTACATGTGAATTTCTGGACTGAGGCTGAGCCAAGGGCCACTTTCCTGATCTGGTCTCTTGGACATGGCCCTAAAGTCCAGCTGCTTCACTCATTAGCCCAGTCCCAGCATTCGCCCCACTGCAGCAATTCTGAGCACTGGCTCTGAGTATATACAAGGATGTTTATGTGATTAGGTGCATGTAGGTGGACTGCCTGGGGGATGTGTGTATTGTCCCTGCATATACATCTTTGAACATGCTTGTGAGAATGAGAACATGTATCCTGTGTCCACACTGCTCTGGGCACAACTGCTCATGGCTGTAAGTTGGGAAAGTATGGCCTTGAACTTTGCAAGGATAAGCGCCCCAGGCCTCATTCAGGCCCACACTCACAGAGATGCTGTCCTTCCTCAGGGGCTGAAGGGATATGTTCAGGGCATTTTTCCTCCAAAAAGTTGATCCATGAGCTTCAGGCTGTCCGTGGAATAGTGGAGTGTGCCATGCTCACAAAAGTCACTCACTGTGGTCCAGGAAATTAAACGGGCTGGAGATACAGTCCTAGGAAGTGTAGGACCTCTCAGCAGTATGCTTGAGCCTTAGCCTGGTTCTCAAAGGGCCCTGGCCACACAATGAGATGGTCTTTCCTGGCTGCAGGACAGGTTTCTTGTTTCTGTACCCCACCATGGCACAATTCAGATAGGTGAAAGGTTCAGCAGCAGGGCCATTGCTGCTGGGAAGCCATACTCTGTTCCAGCCCTGTCAGCCTTAAAAAGCACCTGTCCCATCACCATCCCTTATGGGCATCTGTGGTCAAAACCCACTGTGGGGTTCAAGAACAAAGGTTGAACCTCAGGCACTGAAGTTTTTGTGTCTGACATTCAATAGGTGTTTCTTCCTCCAGGGGTTGAACCAAGCCTGAGGCTCAGACTTCCCTGTAGGCCCTCTTTCTAGCTGGGCATCAGAGCCTACAGACGTCAGCTGGGTGTTGGAGTCAGCAGACATCCAAGGCAGCCTACTCTAGCAGGGTGGAGATGGAGTGTACTACCCTCGGGGTCTTCCAGTGCCTTTCTCTAACAGGATGGCAGCCCAGCACCCAGCAGGCGGCCCTCAGCAACAGGGATTGGACCAGGAGATGGCAGGCCAGGCCTGGGATCTCCGTATGGGCAGCCACCTCGCCTCCCAGTCCCTCACAACGGCAGCAGCAGTGAGGTTACCTTGCCGTCCCAGATGAGCGCCCTGCGCGTGTCTCCACCTCACAGGTAATACAGAGCCATGGCCTTTGAAGCCACCCCCCAGACCCCACCTTAATCCCTGATCCCTCCAATCACACCAAGTCACCTAGTTACATTCAGACCCTGAGGGCTCTCTAGGCTTCCCCACCTCCCAACCTAGCAGTGAAGGCAGGAACTGCAACCCCACTCCTCTTTCTCTCTACCTCCTCAGCACTGCTGACTCAGCCAGAAATCTCTCCCGGAGTCGGGACAGTGGAATTGACCTGGGATCCGATGTGTACAGGATGCTCCGGGAGCCGGATGAGACGAAAGCTTCGGAGCCCAAACAGTCAGGCTCTTTCCGATACCTGCAGGGCATGCTAGAAGCTGGTGAAGGTGGTAAGATGCAGGCCTGACCCTGTCTGCCTTCCCACTCCCCATGGTGTCCGGAGCCCTTACGTGCTCAGCCTTTGGTGACACCCTTATCCCATCTTGTGGCCACCACCCACCCCTCATAAGGCTCAGTCCCACATTTCCCAGTGTGCCTGTGTGTGTCCTGAGCCCACCTCACCGTTTCCCCCACCTGAGCTCTGTCCATTACTTCTATGCATGAGCCCAGCCCACCTCTCCCTCCCTTGCACCCTATGTCCAACCCCTTGCCCAGTCTACCTTTTGGAAGGTGCGCCCAACCCCACACTGCCGTCGTGGAGTTCTGTACCCTCCTGATCTCCTCACCTGCCTCATGCCACCTGCACTCGTATTTTCAGGGGAGCGGCCCGGGTCTGGTGGCTCCTGGAACCTCAAACACACGGCCAGCAAGCTGGGCGCACCTCTGAGTGGCCTGCAGGGGCTCCCAGAATGCACGCGCTGTGGTCACGGCATTGTGTGAGTACCCGCCCCCAGTCCCACCCAGACTCCACCTCTTTCCCCCTCCCTTGACCAAGGCTACCGGCCTCTCAACACCCTCCTCTTCTGGTCCCCCCACCAGGGGCACCATCGTCAAGGCGCGGGACAAGCTCTATCACCCCGAGTGCTTCATGTGCAGTGACTGCGGCCTAAACCTCAAGCAGAGAGGCTACTTCTTTCTAGACGAACAGCTCTACTGCGAGGGCCATGCCAAGGCACGCGTGAAGCCGCCAGAGGGCTACGACGTAGTGGCTGTGTACCCCAACGCCAAGGTGGAACTCGTCTGAGCTGCTTCCAGGGGTCCCTTGGCCTCCTTCCTGCTTCATTTAGTGCCCTGCCCGGCCTTGTAAATATGATTGCCTTCTACATCTGTAATAAACCCCGTCTGCTTGGCCCTCTGTTCCAGCTACCAGTGGAGGCCTTCAGCCTCGAACTTGCCGATATTCGGGCCTGCTTCCCTTCAGCGCAGGCCATGACTCCAGAGTGCTACAAGATCAGTTCACTGTCTCCTGGGAGCCAGACACTGGTTGTTAAAGGAAGCAAGACAGTACTGTGCAACATTTAGGGGCTTGGGGGGTACGGATGCAGGTAGTAGATGGAGGATCATGCAACCACAGATGCCAGGAGGAAATGCTTTTAATTCAAGGCGAGATCTGGGAGTGCTTCAATGTGACTTCATGGGGTCTGATCAAAGGGAGACAAGCTGGCCTGGGTGAGGGATTACGCAAAGATAAAGCAAAGTTGGGCATAGCCTCATCTGCCCAGCAGTGCGAAGAGAGGTTGCCCCTAACAGCTGCAGGAGGAATTACTTCGCGGGAATATTATCACAGGGTAGGAGAAGTCAACTGTTTTAGGCAATATCCGCCTCTCAGTTTTCTTATTTCGCGCTCACACCCCATTTTTCTCACCGGCTTTTTCTTTTCTTTTCCCTTCCAATCTTCACCACTTGGGGGCGCGCTTAATTTTCCTAAAGGAAACCTAAGGCCAGTTTAGAAATGAAAACAGGGCTGGTCATGCACTTTTCTTTTCAAGATGTATCTCTCCAAAGCCGAAGTGTAAAGATGATCTCACCTTGGAAGGTTACTGCCCCCTGAGTCTGTGGTAGGACTTTCAGGCGTCTGTGGCACACACTGAGATAGGCTCCCACTTTTAAAAGTTTAAATTGAATCAGAGTTGGTAAATTGTGGGTGCAACCTGTTCTCACATAATCACTACTCCTTTACTCAGGCTAGTGCATCTAGCTTTCATTTGCTTGAGGAAGACAGGAAATCACTTTGTTTTCTGTTGCTAGGTTCCATCAAGTCAGCTACAACACATAGGTACTCTATGAAAAATGGATATGAACCTATCCTTTCCTGTGCCGTTCTCATCATGTCTGATATACTTGAGCCTATTGTTACAGTCTCTGTGTCAATCCATCTTGTTGAGTTTTTTCTTTCCCTGGCCCTCTTCCTCCCAAAGAATGATAACCTTTCCCAAGGACAGGCCCATCCTAAAACCATGGCCAAAATATTTGAGGCAAAGCTTCACCATCTATGCTTGCAAGAAGCACCATAGTTTTACTATCCCCGAGGCAGATTTGTTCTTTTGGCAGTCTATATGATGTTCAATACTCTTCTCCAACACAACTCTAAAGCATAAGTTCTTAGTCATTGTCAAACCTTCACATGCATAGCAAATACTTGAAAAAGCCATTGGTTGAATCAGGCACACCTTAGTCCTTAAACTGACATCATTGCTCTTCAGCACTTTGAAGGTGCCTTGACAGATTTTCCCAGTGCCACATATCTTTTTATTTCCTGACCACTAGTGCCAAGGGTGTTGATTGTGGATCTAAGAAAGATAGTGTCTACAATATCAATACTTTATCTATCATGATGTCGCCTATTAGCTAAGTGGTGAGGACTTTTTCTTGATGTTAAGATGTAATCCATACCAAACACTGTAGTCTTTGATCTGCAGCATGTGCTCCAAGTCATCATCACTTACTGCAAACAAGGTGTCATTTGCATAAGGCAGGATATTGATGAGTCTGCCTCAAATCCTGATGCCACATTCTTCTTCGTACATCTGGCTTCTCAGGTATGATTTGCTCAGCATACAGACTGAATAGGTATGGAGAAAGGATACAGCCTGGCACACACAACAGCTTCGTGGTCTATATATAGGTTTCACATGAACACAATTAGTCATGAATTATTAAGCTAGCATGCTGAAGTAAAGCGTTTAAGAGAATATGTAAAAGGACAGCTTGAAAACATAAAGCAAAGTATTATATCAGAATATTCTGAGAGCTGGAGTTGGAGAACAAAAAGAGGGAAAATTCTTTTGGTGTTTCTCAAATTGAAAGAACTGAATAGCAAATTCAAGCCTTGAGTTTACAATACTAAGAGGTGCTGTAGCCAAAATCTTGAACCATAAAAAAAAGATGGAAGAAATACACAGAGACGCTGTATCAAAAAGAACTGGTCTTTAAAAATCCTCCAAAAACCGGTCAACACAAACATTTCAGGAAGAAACATTAGCAAGAGCCAATAGTAACAAAGAAGTTCAAGCTGTATTGATGGCATTGGCAAAAATAAAAAATAAAAATGTGAGCACAGGAATCAATGGAATACCAGTTGAAATATTTCAACTAGTAGATGTATCCCTGGACATACTCACCAGTCTATGCCAGGAAATTTGGAAGACAGCAGCCTGGCCAACTGACTAGAAAAGATCTATGTATATTCTCATTCCCAAGAAAGGTGACCCAAGAGAATGTGGAAATTATAGAACAGTACTATTAATATTATATGCAAGTAAAAGATTACTGAAAGCCATCCAAAAATGGCTAGAACAGTACATTGACAGGGAATTGCCAGAGGTGTCAAGCTGGGTTTAAAAGAGGCCAGGGCACCAGGGAAATCATGCCTGGTGTCAGATGAATCTTAACTCAAAGCAGAGAATGCCAGAGGACTGTCTTTTTGTGTTTTATTGACTATGCCAAGGCATTTGATCGTGTAGATCATAACAAATTTTCACTAATATAGAGAAGAATGGAATCCCAGAACACTTAATTATGCACATATGAAATCTATTCCTAGGCCAAGAAGCTGTTATCCAAACAGAAACAGGGAACACCACTTGGTTCTAAATGGAGAAAGATGTGTGCATCAAAGCTGTATCTTTTTCTATACCTATTCAGTCTATGCTGAGCAAATCATTAGAGAAACTGGACTTTTATAAAGAGGAATGTGACGTGAAGATTGGAGGAGGACTCATCAACAACTTGTGTTATGTACATGACACAGGCCTGCTGAAAGTGAGGAAGACTTGAAACACTTGCTGCAGCAGACCAAAGGCTTTTAATATGGAGTATATCTCAGCATCAAGAAAACAAAAATCCTCACTGTTAAGCCTATAGGCAGCATGATCACAGATGGAGACAAGATAGAAGTTGTCAATAATTTTATCTGTGTTGAATCCACAATTAATACTTTTGTTACTAGTTGTTGTTGTTATGTGCCGTCAAGTCGTTTGCGACTCATAGCGACCCTACGTACAACAGCCCTAAACCCTGCTCTATCCTGTGCCAATCGCACTGCCTCTGACACACCCATCCGGATTACCCCAGTCACTGAATCAATCCACCTTATAGAGGGTCTTCCCCTCTTGCACCGTCCCTCCACCCTCCCAAGCATGATGTCCCTCTCCAAGGACCTGTCCCTCCTTGCAACATGCCCAAAGTATGTCAGACGAAGCCCCAGAATCCTTGCCTCCAAGGAGTAGCTTGGTTTAACCCTCTCCAGGATGAATCTGTTTGTTTTCTTGACAGTCCATGGTACATCCAATACTCTTCTCCAGCACCACAGCTCAAAGGCATCAATTTTCCTTCTGTCCTCCTTAGTCATTGTCTAACTCTCTGATGCAACAAGTGATTGCAAAGACCATGGCCTGTATCAGGCGCACCTTAATCTCCAGAGAGACACCGTTGCTCTTCAGTACTTTAGAGAGGTCATTAACAGCAGACTTTCCCAAAAAAATATAAAGATGTGTTGCTTTGGAAAACTGCTGTCAGGGACCTCTCCAGAATACTGTAGAACAATGAAACTAGTTTAAAGACTAAGGTGCACCTCATTCAGGCCATGATCTTTTCAATCATTATGCACCTGAGAGCTGGATAGTGAATAAGGAAGACAGAAAATGTGTGTCTTTGAGTTGTACTATTGAAGAGTATTGAATATCCCATGTACTGCAAAATGAATGAACAGAGATAACTTGGAGAAAGTGCAGCCAGAGTGCTCCTTAGAGGCAAGAATGGGGAAGCTTCATTTCACATACTTTGGGAATGTTATTAGGAGTGACTATTTCTTGAGTCCTGAGGGCCCTGGTCCTGCTTGTGCCCTAAAAGGGGACTTCTGCCCTGCCAGGGGTCAGAGCGGAACACTGAAACCACGCCTGCCCCCTGCCCCCATGCCCCGCCCTGACGCGGTGTGCGCATGCGCGCATAGTCTCACCTCCTAGTGGAAGGTGGAGAACTGGGTGCGGCTGCGGAAAAGTCCTCCCTGCCCTCCTCACACTGACAACCCCTCCCCGGCAGACACCGCTTCCCCGCCGCACCCGTATTTTAAGCGGGAGGGGAGAGTGGTGTGCAGCCAGGGAAAGCATTAGGCTCCGGAGCTGGTGGAAAATACCAAGAGCCCCGGGCTCAGGTTCCCTCCGCGCTCAGTCTTAGACCGTCTCCGCACACCAACCAGCCCTGCTCACTCTAATTCTCTTCTCCCACAGGTAGGGTTTCAAACTGAGTGAGTCCTTGAGCCATCTACATTGCTGCTCCTTTTTTAAAAAACATAGGGTCGCTATGAGTGGCAGGCGACTCGACGGCACATAACAACAACAACAACAACATATTACTCTGATTTATTTACAAAGTTTGAATACATTCTTTTTCACCATTCTTCCCATTTCTTTACACCACCCACCCGTTGAATTGTGGAACCCTATGATTAACACCCAAATCCCCCCTGCCACCCTCAGCCTCAGCCCTCTATTTCCACCCTCCCCACTGCCTTGGATCCTCATACTCAGTGTACAATAATGGTTTTATACAGTATTTGTCCTTGTGGGACTGAGTTAGTTCACTCACCATAATGCTCTCCAGTCCCTCCCAAGTTAGTAATTTACAAAATCATTGCTCCTGCGTCCTGTGTAGTGTTCCATTGTATGCATGTACCACAACTTCTCAACCCATTCGTTTGTGTTTGGACATTTAGGCCATTTCCATGTTCTTACAATGGGCAATAATGCTGCTCTGAACATTGGTGTACAAGTTTCCGTTTGAGCCTCAGTTCTCATTTTCTTGGGGTATATTCCAAG